GGGGGGGGCGCTACTGCCCACTGTGGGCTAAAAGCGGCTGATTTTTTTGCTTGACGCACAGGCAGCCTCACTTTTTTTCCCTTCGCATTTGAAAGATTCTCTCCTGACCCCCCAATACTTTCCTCCTGAGAAACTACTTTCCTCCTGTGCCCACCTCATCCCACAGCTGGGCAGCTGCCCTGGGGGCACTCTGGAATCGATTGCTAATGCACTGCTGCTCCCAGTACACTCAGCACAACCACCAAAATGGAGCAGGGCTGCACCAAGGAGAGAAGTGAGGGAGAGCTCAGGGGGGTGAAGGGGGTGTCCACCAGTCCCAGCTATTTTGATTTTTAGGACATGACACTGTAGCTTGAGCAACAGAAGGCAGGCAGGGGGTGGGGGAAGGGGGTGTCCTCTCCAACCCGGACATTGAGGGAGGCAGATAAGAGGCTCTGACTTGCTTACAACTGGGGAGGGGGGAGAAGGGGGCAGAAAGGAAGGAAGCTGCCAGCAGGCTCCCCCTGCAAAAGATTAAGAAAGTGGCTCCCCATGCAGTTAACAAGCAAATAGGGCTCAGGAAAGCAGGCATTTCTCCCAGCTGCAAAACAGGCATGACCCCACCTGGCTACCGGTTTAGTGGCTGATAGCACATCGTGCAGGGCTGGCATTCCCCTGCCCCACCATGGAGCAGAGGTACCCACACCCCTGCGGCAGGGCCTCCTCCTGAGACGCACACAGGTACCAAAGGGGCAGGGGAGCGGAGCAGCATTTGCCCACCTTCACCTACCTCTCCCCAGCAGGCAGCACTGCAGCCTGGCATGGGGGGAAAAGAGAGGACAGCATCCTCAAGGAGATACTAACAGGATGGCAGTTTCTCCTTCCATTGCCTGAGCAGGGTCAGCACCTTAGTTCATATGATTTCAAAGGCCGCTGCCTCCCCCACCTTCCTCAGCCCGAGCAGCCCAGACCCAGCTCAGGGCCAAAGCAGGGGTAGCTGCGCGGCGAGGTGGCCACGTGGGGCACAGCTATGTTATGGCTCACCTGGTAAATATGGTCATGAGTTATTACTAACAAACACAGGAATTTAAAAGTGACAGGAGTAACAGCACAGAGCACCACAGGCCTGGGTTTCCAACACAACCCCCTGCACAAGGAATAGCATCATCATGGCTCTGGGGGCTTGGGGTGCTCATCTGCCCCCTCATCATTCAGCACCTCCCCAGAGGCACCAGCCCGGGGCCCTACCTGGCAGCAGCTGGCTGGACACAGGGTGGCAGCTCACAGCAAGCACCCATTTGCTTTTTTGCCTTTTACCCCGTGGGCCCAGAGGAAAGGAAGAGCAGAGGTTTCACTGCTGCAGCGCAGAGGACAGGTGCCCATTATTTGCTTTCAGGTTCCCACTTCTCCCCAGAACGGGGCCCTCACAGTCCCACCACTGAGCTAGCACCCATGTTTGCAGTGCTGCTTCCCCTTCCTTGCCTGTTGGGTCCGACCCCCCCAGCTGCTTCTTTCCACTGGGGCACTTTCTAAAGGGAGGTAACAGCACAGCTGAAGGCAGGAGACAGATTGCACATGGCCCCTAATGATATGTTGCTCATTGTGAGCTGTGCCCCTCACACGCTCCCCAGGACAGTCCAAAAGGCTGAGTGTCCTGCTCAACTGGGGGTGTCATAGGTACTGTGGAAGGTGGGGCAAAGCAGGTTGTGCATGAAGGCTGGACTCCAGGCCCAGCCAGAGGTCTGGGGCAGCGAAGGACAGATTTAACATACAAGGACCTGGATTTTAGCACCTTAAAAAACTGTTTTGCAGCCCAAAGCGAGTGATGCAAGCAGACGGGCTTCTGCCAAGCTCAGCAATATTTGGGAAACCAGCTTAGACGTTACCGGGTTGGTGGGGAACCCTGGTTCCCTTTGGCTACACTTGGGAAAAGTGCCTGTTCTGCCTGGCTCCTCGCAGCCCTGCGGCAGACCAGACCCTCCCTTGACAGATGGCAGCCGGGGCAGAGGGCACCCCTCCCGCCCCCCAGCCAGCACCCGCGCCTTTGCGTCCTGCTCCGGAGGTAGAATCCCCTTTGCCAACCGTTAAACCCACCGTGCCAGGGGAGCACAACCCCCTTTATTTGCCAATCCCAGCAAAGCATGGGGTACTGCTTCTGGCAACGGCTCAGGCCCAGTCATGCTATGTCCTGCTGTGAGAGGCATGAGGGAACTCATGCCCGGCAGCACTGCTCCCCATGCACTGCCATCATCGCTGCTCCTGCCTGGAGGCAGAGGGGCTGCTGGCTCCGTTCTCACCCAAGCTGGGGCAGGCGGCACCAAGGCGGGGGCAGGAGGCCACCAGCTCCAGAGCTCCTGCAGCCTCCTCTTCCCCCCCAGCAGCCGTTCTCCCTGCCCTGGCCTGGCCCGCTGCCCAGGCAGCAGTGACTCGAGCAGCAGGTCTGTCTTTGCCACCGCTGCCAGCTTCATGCAGGAAGGACACTGTTGGTGGAGGAGTACAAATACTAGGAGCTCATTTCCTTTTTTTTTTTTTTTTTGGGTTGACTGGCCTTTTCCCCCTGCATGCCCGTGCCCTCCCACTCCCATTCCCTTCAGTCTCTGCTCACAGAGTTACAAGCAAGAATCCCAGTGCAGCTGCAGATCGTGTCCATCAAGGAAGTCTGTGGAAAAGAGGCTGGGAGCCGCAGTGCTAAGGGGAGCCAGGCTCATGACGGGCCCCCCCGGCAGCTCCAACCAGTCCATGCTGTCCAAGTTAGCCTCAGCCAGATCCAGGGCTATGCCCCCAGACGGCTCGTGAGCAAAGTGCAATTCCGAGGTGTCCATAGGTGAAGGTGGGTGGTCCAGGATGGCCGAGCTGCTCAGCATCTCACTGTGGAGGTCATCAATCAGGGACAGGGGCTCCGGCCCATCATGGCCTGCCGTCAGCAGCGGGAGGCCAGTGCTGCTCTCCAGGAAGTCCTCCAGCCGGCCGACAAGCACTGGCACCACCAGCTCTGAGGATTGGTGGCTGCTGGGCGGTGGGGAGCAGGCTGGGGCCACGGGTGGTTCTTTCCCAGCTGGGGATGACTGATCCTTGAAGTCAGCAGAAATTTCTGTACAGAAAACAAACAGGCAGGACAGGGTGAGGAAAAGCTTGGCTAAACACCAGAAAGATCCCTCCCACCCACCAGGGCACCAGGGACCCCCCCAGACTGAGGCATTACTGACCACCTGGGATAAGGAAATCCTTCCTGTGCCCACACTTGGCTTGCTATGGGGAGTTTTCAGCCCACCTCTGGGGAATTCAAGCTCTCTCCAGTATTGCAGAAGAGAAGGGCCCAGATCTGACGCAGCAGAGCCACTGAGAAGCTTTGTACCATCCTAATGCCCAACTGACATCTCCCTCGGTGCCTTAATGACTACTGCTAATGCTAAAGGCACTGGCAGGGACATAGGAGCAAAGACCTATGCCATGACAGAGTGTCCCCTCAGTGCTCCATAATCCCCAGGCTCAAACCCAAAGACCATGGGAGTCTTTGTCTCCTTACCTCCACTTTCGATGAGAATATCAAACAGGTCGTCCATCTGCTGGCTGGAACAGCTGTTCTCCTGCGGGGAGCGAGTGCAGGATTAGCTTCCTATTTACCAGGGGAGCTTCCACTTAGAGCAACACCCTTGGCTGCTGGCTCTCCTCTCTTACCCCAAGGACGGAGCTGTTATCTAGCAAGAATGAGCACACAGAGGCATCGCACCAGAATCCTCCGTAACCCCAGGCTGCTACTGGAGGGGAAGGCATAGTCTGCAACTGCTGTACTAACACGCACCAGGCAGTGAGGGGTTTGGGATCTCTACCTGTGGTTTAGGGTCTGCCCCAACCCCTCCATAGGGAATTTAGCTTGGAAGGCGCAGTTGTGTCTCCATTCTCTGTTACTGGCCCAGATAAGGAATCCAAGCAGATTCACAATGGTAACTTTTCACCTGCTCTCCAAGGAAACCAGGGAGAAGAACTGCTCTCACCTGGGACTTTGGCTGTTGCTTCATGGCCTCTTCATAGCCTGGTGGCTCTTTGATTGGGACCGAGGGAACAGGGAGAGGAGGTGGAGGAGTTCCAAAAAGCGACGTGTGCTGTTGCTGCTCCAGGTCCATCTGGGCTGGGGAAGGGGCAGCAGGAGAGCCGGGCTGCGATGAGGGCTGTTTAGAATGAAGGCAGAAGGGGTGATCAGGGGAGAGTCCACATCAACTCCTGTCTCACAGCTGCTTTGAGAGACTATCACCCCCTCTCTTGGTGAGCGCTGCGCAGAGGCCTGCAGTGCTCTGCTCCCAGCAGCCTGACTTCTTCCATGCACTCTGTGCACTATGCCCTGGCTGCAGGGGAGAAAGACAGATTTCCCCTCCAACTCACAGCTGGAAATCTTTTGCTGATTTTTCTAATGCTAAAGCAACCAGACCACAAACCGCCCTCGGGCTGCTACTGGATGGGAGAGCCTCATCTGTCCAAGTGGGGGATTCCTCTAGAACTTTGGAGAGAGAGGGCACTTCCCTTGTTATGTTCAGCCTACTCTCTGCAATTTATCCAGGACCTATCTTTTATCCACCTCCCTCTGCAGTGCCTGCTTTGGGGACATAATTGAGCTTCACAGGCAGCAAGTTTCACAGCCTGATGGTGGGCGGAGAGCACCACAGCACTCAGCAGCACCAGAGACCTCCAAAGGAAACCCCAAATGTTGCAGGAAGTGGTGCTCATGACTCAGCTTTACCAGATGAATCAGCACACAACTGCCCATAAGAAAAAGTAAAATGTAGATGAGGTCTTTGCCTCTACAGCAGTTATGCGTGATCCCCATGGAAGCTTGCTCCCCTGGAGCAGTGATCCCCAGGCCGTAGCTGAATGCCAGTTCTAACACTTGTACTTGTTGATGCTCTTCCCCATCCTGTTTTCCCTGGAAAGCTGTTCGTCTGTTCTGTGACCTGCAGGTAGAGGAGTGACCCCAGGCCCCGGCCGGCAGAGCTGCTCTGGGGTCCGCTCTATTCCTGAGAGGGGCTGGAAACGCATTGTGGCACAGGCCACTGCGATGTGCTGGGAGGATACCTTTTCTGACACACTGGTGGGCCAGCTTTGCCAGGAGCACCGATTTTCAGAGATCATTTGTGTAAACCATTGGGGAAGAAGGGCTGCAGGTTTGAAGGTGCTAAGAAAAGACAATATGGTGTTGGGCAGCTGTCCCCGGACCACCTGCAGATCTGGCTTCTGACCCTACAGGGTGGCAAAAGGATTAGGAGAGTCACCATAGATGCCTCCACGGCACACGAGCTAAAGGAGTCTGAGGGAAAACGTGCCTTTGTTGTTTTACCTTCTGCATTTCCTCAAAGGTCTCAAAGCAAATGAAGGCACTGACCCTTTGCAAAGTGGACAGCCCACTCTGACTACGCTAGAAATGATTCCTGTCTTCACATCCTTTCCAGGATCTGACTCAGAAGTGATTCTCCAAGCTCTAAAAACTCTTCATAATCTTTCTGTATCTTACATGTTAGAGAGAGAGCTAAGTCATCCCTGATGTGGGCTAGAAAGGGAGAAGATGCACAGCAGAGCCTCTTTACACCCATCACCGGGAGAAGCGGTAAAGCCAGAGGTGCCCTTTTTCCCGATCCTGCACTGCACTTCACACAGAGATGGTTATCTCTGCTATGCTCAAGGCACAGGAATGGAAATCACAGCATGTTCACTGGAGAGCAAATGGTCACATCCTTTTGCCCCTCTCAGAGCTCATACGCCACATTCAGTAGCAGACACGCTGTCCACAACACCATGCAGTAACGCTCTCCATGCAGTAACCACCTTCTCAGTTTAGCAGCACTCCTTCAAGAATCAGGAACACCACTGTGAACCAAGGCTGCTCACTCTGGCCTCTCATCATTTTTAATTGATGGACAATGCTTGTTTAAAACACCAGCTGGTATTCTGCCCAGATGTGGGCCCAAAAGGCAGAAACTAGTAAACTGTCAGGGTTTAGCCCAGAGCTCTTTGTAAAGCCTCCACATCATTTCCAAGCGTGCCTGTACGGGAAGACCTCATGAACACTCAGTGCTCCTA